ATAGCTTTTATTGCATCTTTTTGATTACTACTTCAATTACTCTTTATAGAGGGTTAAACCAAGAAAAGATTTGGCACAGAATTCAGAGTTTATGTCTGAATATATTGTTGCTGTAACCAGGCAAAGGCTTGACTGATCACATGAAATGCCGGGACCTTTAATGCAGGCTAAATAAATGTGGCTGTTGATGGAACTGGCTCTTCAGAATGAATTCTGCCAGCCTTCAGGTGTTTCTGTAGTATCTCTAATGTTATTGTACTCTCAACTTGGCAGAAAGTAACTTTAGAAACTTGTAAGGGTTTTTCTTCTGTGAAGCAAGATCTGAAGTAGAACCTGAGCTTTCTACGAATCCAAGGTTTTGTAAAAATGCTTTCCGTGCTTTTGAAACGTCTGTTGGTGGCAAATGTTAAAGGCAAGAGTGAATACTATAAATTATTTGTTACAGATTGGATTTTAGATTTTTCCATAGCCAGTCAGATACTGACCATGACCCATTGAAAACTTGGGAGACTTGCCTTAAAAGGCAATAAGTGCACATTTAAAGTCTCTATTCTAGCTATGAGAAAGCATTAAAATGTTGCCTGTTCTGTTTTTATTTTGCATGTTGAATTCTGAGAAGACAGTATTTCTAAAGGTATGGAAACTTGGAAGAATCGATAGTCAGCTAGTTGACTTTACATTGGAGAAAGTAGTCTTGAAGACCCCATGCCAGACTGGTAGAAGCAAAGGAGGTTTAAGTCTCGCATCCCTACTTTAACACATTGTGTGGCTGACAGAGGCATTCTGCTGGAGATGACTGTTGGCTTTCCTCCAAAGCCTGAGCATTAATTAACGCACTTGGGGACTCATGAAACACTCTTCATAATGATAGGCAATTGCTTTAAATCATTTGTAACGCAAATGATTTACAACAGCCTCAGATTTTTAATAAGCCTTGGCACTAATTGGTGAATGTTAGCTCTCTTGTTTCTGTGTTCCCAGGCTCGTAATCCAAAGAAGCTGATTTCTAGCAAAGCTTCAGAGGAAGAGATATAAATACTTTAATATGTGTTCTGGTACCCTGTTGATACCTTTAGCTATCACATCTTTAGAGGCAGGTGACTAAACAAAACTTGGGTCTAATGTGTTGTAAAACTAGATTCTTTCTCCTTTATCTTTTGCAACAAATTGAGAGGAAAGGAGCTAGAAGTGCTTGAGAGGTAACTGACCAATTATTTGGGGATTACTTGACTTCAGAGTTTTGCTTTTGAGATGAATATTTGTTTCCTTAGAATTTCTTAATACCCTGGGGTAATGTAAAAGCTGGGCTGTGTTGCAGGCTTTGTTGTGGTGGTTGTAGTTGGCATCCTGCTGTATTCAGCGTTGTGAAGAGATGTGTGCATGACTCAGATGAAGTTTTGTTGTTTTGAACTTTGCAGAATCTAAACAAAAAGTCAATTCCACTGACCATTTTAGCCAGCAGTTCTGATGCCTGAGCTGTGAGGTGTGTTCTGCTAGTGCTTTGAGAGCAAAGTCTGAGAAGTGGGTCGTCTGATACTTGTAGCTGGACTGGCATTCTCCTCTCCAAAGTCTGACATACCAGAGTGAGAGAACAGGACTTGAATTTCAGTATGTGTAACCCTGAAGTAACTTGGAAGTGAACATATGCAGCGTCATGAAACTGTCACTGACAATTACTGATTTCTTAACCTAGAACAATATTTCTGAATTACAATTGCCTCACTTTTGAAGCAAACTTGAGGTGAATGATACTTGGCATGGTAGCCTAAAAGGCCCAATACGTCTTGTGGCCTCTCGGTTTTCTCCCATCCTTATCGTTACTAGGTAATGTGAAGGCTGCAAAGAGTATTTTGGCCCAAAGAAAGAAAAAAATTGCATGTTCCTGATTTAACAGATTATACAGCTTAGTGGCCATTCTGCTAAGACAGCGCTGTAGACCTTCCTTCAAAGCCTGAATGGTAATTTGGAGAATTTAAGGTTTGTGGCCAAGCAATGTGAGATGCTCTTCAACAGCTGTACCTCTTCCTTCAGAGAGCACCAAGCCTTATTCATTGCCTCCTGCATTTACAGGTTGATTAATAGTAGCCTTTTTGTTTGGGCCTCTCTGGACTTGTTAAACATCGTGATATTGTTGGTTTTGATTGTTGCCTTTGAAGTCCCTCAGTTATCAGATGTAGATGGAGATTTGACAGCTTGCCCAACTTATGTTGATTTAACACAGATACATTCTGAAAACAAAGTATTTCACTGCAGTAATGGAGCTATCATCAGTCTTTTGGAAAGTGCAGTTGGTGGGGGTTTTTAATGCATTTTTTTAATGTTAAGACCAATATGAGTTACATCAGTGCTTTATACTAGTGCTTTGGCACAGAACACTGAGTTATTCAGATTCTGTATGTCAAGGAGGGTATCACCACAAACTAATGCTAATGGTAAGAGAATAATCACTTTGTAGATGTCAAGTACTATAGTAAGGATGCTTTTTAAGGGGAGTGTAGGGCAGTTACTGCTATTTATATAGAAGAGGGCTGTTAGAGTTCGTGTTCTTTGATAAATCAGTTAATAGAAGGAAAAGTTTGCTTTTTTTTCTATGCAGTAGTTTGTTGTTGGTCCATCATGCTCTTCTTTCTGCCTCTGCCTGAACCCAAACCCCCTCACAGCCTGACAGAAATGTTCGCTTACGCAGCTAGCCCTGCTTCAGTTTGTACTACATCCTTCTCCAGTGTTCGGCTGCGACATCAGAAGTCGATGTCCATGTCAGCCTCTGTGCACACGAAGATGATGTTGCCTCCAATAGACAATGGCGCAGATAACTTCAGGCCTATGTAAGAACCTGAAATCGTTGTGAAACTAACTTACACCCACTGCTTCTTAACTTTGTGCTGTGGAATTTTAGTCCTAGATTGTTCTAGTATATTTTGCCCAGAAGATGTGTGTTTCCTCATTTTTTTTTAGTCTTGTTTACATTTGTCTTGTGGTGTGTCAGGCTGTCTGTGACATAATCCTGCAATAATGAACCTCAATTTTTTTCCTAGTGTAGGAGTATTGGATATTCCCTATTGTCAAAGTTTGTGGGAGACTTTAACTGTGTATCCTGAAGGACTTAAGTATTTGGAGTGGTTCACTTGTAGAGAATTTTGTGTAGGATACTTTCAAATTAGCAAGATACTTTCAAAGATGTATATATAGAATGTGGAGGGAGAGACACTAAAGTTACTGATTGCTTCTCTTTCCTGGGAGGAAACTTTACTCATCTATTCTTTTATCAGTCTTCTCAGTGAGACATTGTATGCCTAGTTTATCTGGTCTTTTCCAGGATACTCATGTTGCATTTTTCTGCCTATGTAGGTTTCTGTTTCGGCAGCCTTTTAATCCTAACTTCTTACAAGTTTTGATTCTGTACAGTGCTGTAATAATGTTGATATTTCCAACCCTGGCCTATATGAAAGTGTCTGCTTATGCTTTACTGTAGAACATAGTGTTTTGTGTTTCCTGCAGAACCGTAGTGCTTCTGTAAAGTTCTAGCATTGTTTTTTGTTTTCTGCTCTAGCACTATTCCCGATCAAAGAACTCCTGTTGCTTCAACTCACAGCATTAGCAGTGCAACCACACCTGATCGTATTCGTTTCCCCAGAGGAACGGCTAGTCGGAGCACTTTCCATGGCCAGCTCAGAGAGCGACGTACTGCTACCTACAACGGACCGCCAGCCTCCCCCAGTCTGTCCCATGAAGCAACGCCGCTCTCACAGACTCGAACCAGGGGTTCCACTAATCTATTTAGTAAACTAACTTCAAAACTAACAAGAAGGTAAGCCTCTTAAAATGGTAATGCAACGTTCCCTTTTTATGGGGTAGTAGATGTACCTAGTAGTTCATTGCTTAGGTTGTTTTGTCCACAGTCTCTGATTAATGGCTTAACAATTTCTGCAGCTGGTTACAGAAGCCATTTGTTTTTAGCAATAGAATCAAATGGGATAAAAAGTGAGACAGCTTAGTCTGTGCTGTTTCTTCTGTGCTCTTCATCCTCATGTCTCGGGTACAAATGCTGCAAAGCTGAAAGATTTCAGCTCAGTTCAAAAGCTGCTCACTGACTGCATCGTCTGTCAGTTGGCGGCATAAACTAGGATCCCAGTCTTGGTATTTAATATAGCGTTAGAAGCTCAGGTTGAGTTTCCCAATCACTTAGGCTATTAATATTTCCAGAACAATTTTGTTAGCAACACTCAAATAGAAATATCACAGGTGAAAGGGTAGGGGAAAGAGACAAAAACTTCTTTGGTCATCTTAATATAAAGGCAGTACTATGGTTTCAGTCTAGGCAGGAGTCTGGCCAAACCTTGAAAAACTTACTTCTATTTTGGCCTTTAGCTCACGTGCAGATTCTGGGTTTGGTGTGAAGGTGCGTTGGTCTAGCCAAAGCCTAGCTTAAGCAGGTGTTGTTCCTGCAATAACAAGTTTTTATTCTAATTAGACTTATAGTTTCAAATCCATGTATGATTTAAATTAGTTCCTACAAACCCTAAAACTGAAAACCACGTATTTTCCTTCTATATTTAAAACCTGTCGGTTCACATACCATACTTCAGACCACTTTGATATCCACAGCTTGTATTTGCAGAAGCGAGGGTTTGTTTATCTTTGCCTTAAGATAATGTCCATGCTTTTGAACCCTCTTCATCATGTTAAATTTTTTTGAATTTATCATTCTGCTCTTGGCCTGCCTGCTTTTGTTTTAGGCTTATATCACATCAGCACCAAGCCATTTCCTTCCTGTCTGTTCTGGGACTTTACATGCCTCCCTCTCAGCACAGTCTTCATAGTCTCCCATTCCTACAAAATAATGCTAAGCCAAACTCCAGTTTCTCACAACTGGCTGATTTCAATGTAGAGTGAATTTCTTTTAAAACTATAGAAGTTGTTTCTGTGAAAATGAAAACGTGACAGCCTAGCCTCTGGTAAATATTTTACCCTGCTTAGCTCTCTGCCAGCTAACACTTTCCTGGGAAATACTGTGCTGTATGAAATTCTTTTTTTTGTTCTTTTTTTTTTTTCTTTTTTCTCTCTCCTTTTTGTGTTGAGAGAGATATAAAAGATTAATTTGTTGGGGTTTTTTTAAGAAGTCATCTGCTTTATGTTAAGTAAAGTCTTAATCAAACACATCCTTTTGGCACATCTTTCTTTCTGTACTTTTGTTTGCAATATGCTTACTTAATTTTCCATCTGATGTTCCAAATGTGGACGCTCAAACTGTGAACGTGCAAACTTTTCACTCATGCTGCTGGAACATGCTATTTGTCATTGTGTGTCACTCAGTCGTTCAGGCAGCATTCAAACTTCTTATCGTTACCTCCAAGTTTCAACTTTTGCAGTGCAGTGTGGTTTACTTGAAGTTTTTCCCCACTACTTTTGACAATAGCTTAAATTCCATCTGGACTTCATTAAATAATGTGCAGTTGTAACACAGCAGTGCTGTTACAGATGGTTAAGTTTACACTTGGAGGACCTCTCACAGTTGTGGCTGTGTTATACGAGGCGCTGTACAAAATACTAAGGAGGTGGTTAGTCCCATCAAAGGACACAGTTATGTTTCTTCTCCTTAAATAAATTAAAAAACAAACTTAAAACCTGTTAATTCATTCTAGCATTCTCTAGGGGGGATCAGAACCCTTTTGATTGTGAACTAGTTATGTTCTAGTGTAGGCAATTGTTAAACCTTCTGCCACTAAATTCACTAAATATTTAAGGCAGGTTTTGGCACAACATGGCTGACCTAACATTATGAAGGAAGGAAGGAATCTAACTCTGAAGATACTCAAGATCTAATTATAGTAGAGTTACTGATTTTTGCTTTCTATTTGAAATACATGAAGAAAATCCAAACATATTTTTATGTGACCTTGCAGATTATGAGTTTTAAAGTGTTTTGACACCAGTGTGTATTTTAATTCATAATAACTACTGGTGGCGTATTTCCCAGAAAAACTGAGTTTGGAAGTAGCAGTGCTAAGAGTTTGACTCTTCAGACCCTAAATCATCTGCCTAATCTCAGAATGTATTGAAGTGTAATTTCATTGTGCGTTTTAAATGAGCTCTTTTTGCATGTTTCACTCTAAATGGCTTTTTCAATTTATTTTGTACAACACTTTTTGTTAATTATTATTTTGGCTTAATTTCTTTTAGAAACATGTCATTCAGGTTTATCAAAAGGTAGGATTTCTTTATATTTAAAAAAAAGTGGCTCCTGCAATTAACAACAGATTTGGCTTTCTAGCCTTGGTTTTCTGAAAACTAAACTTTCTGCTGAGAACTAAATACTTTCTTTCTTGAGAGGAAAGCATAGCATAAATCCATTAACTCATGATGATACTTAAGAATCTGTGGCACCTGTATAACAAGATGCTAAGCATGCCTTGTGAATTCTTCTCTCTTTGATAGAGTTGGTAGTACCAAAGTAATTCTGTTCTCTGTACTAATACACTTAGCATGCTTATGTTTGAAGAATGAGGTGTTTGATAACAATGATGAAAGTATAAACAAAACATAAGGTTACAAGCAAATAAAGGTAAGTGATGCTAAATTTACATTCTCTATCTCTTTGTTTTATGGTATTTTATTAAAAAATCAGTTTGAAGTGCCCGCAGTTGATACAATAGAAAGCAAACTGAACACATTTGTGAATCTAAGAGTTTTGTATGGAAGATTGAATGAAGATGCAATGGCTGTGTAGTCGTTTAAAAATGGAATGCATTGGCTGAAGTGAATTGCAGCTGAAGTGCAAATAGAGTACAAATAGAGTACTTCAGTAACAAACAATAAATATAGCACCTATGCAAATTTATTAACAAAAGGCAAAAACTCAACAGTCTGATTCACATTTCAAGCCCAAAGCACTGAATTTAGTTTTATAATTTGGGAGTGAATCAAGCTACTATATATCTTATTAATCCATTATGACTCATGAAAGTTGGTTACACAATTTTGACCCGCAGGTAGATTTTCCAGTAGAATTTTGTAATCCTCTGTTTAGTTGTGTCATATCTTGGAGCTTCTTAAAGGGTGGTACTTTCAATTTCCAAATACTGATCAAAAATAGGGAGATGGGGCCAAAGAACAAACATCTGGTTTAACTTTCAAAATGCAAGGCTATGCATGTGACTAATTTTAAGTTTGTCAGACCATTTCAAGGAAACACTTCCACTAGGGAGACCAGAGATATGTAAATTGATGCCTAAATTAGGGTTTATTTTGTACACTCCGAGTCTAAAGGTACCCTACCCGAGTAAATGAGTAAATTCCATGCCACGGTAATAATAACCAGAGCTCTTCCAAACATGACTATGTTTAGACCTGGTGCTGGTTGGGCTGGCTGGCATTGTCACAGCTGACTTGAGAAAAGGAACATGCATGAACTGTTAGTTAAGGAACAAGACCATCCAACACAGGATACAGATGAAACTGAGCAGCGGCAATAGTTTTAACCCATCGTGCATCATGAGCTGTGGGGTGCATACATACCGCATTGTAAGAGCGAGCTTCTCTGAAGTCACATAGCTTTTAAAACAAAGGATTGTGATCTGTGCAACCTCCACAACTGCATGCATCCAAGTTTTGTTACTCTGCTGTTCTGAAGAAAGATGAAAAATGCTAATATGAGTACAGTTTTAAACTAGAAGGTTACTGTTCCAATTTGAGACTTTTAAAAGGTAATTTTTTTAATTAAAAACTTTGATGTGAGGCCAGGAATCTTAGACTATTGTGGAAATAGCAGCTGCAGTTTCTATGAATATGTCTTTTGAATAAGAGATTTGCAAAGTCTTATACCACCTACACAGTGACCAGACTGTGCTTTTTAAATTCTGTTTTAAGTGTGCATGGTATCCCTCCATACCTGATCTGTATGTAGGTACAAAATTAAATTGAAAATGTTGGGGATTTTGGCAATTTCTTCTTACTTTGTGTGCTATGAATCTTACCTAAATTCACTGTCTTTGATACTGAAAGACCTACTGTAACCCAATAGCATGTATATATAGTACTGCAACATTTTTCTGGGGAGCTGAACAAAAGTAGATAATTGGTCACTCCTTTTTAAACTAACTGACTTCTAATATTGTACTTGGTACACAGAGGTATAAAATATATATAGCTCTCTTGTACCATGCACTGTCCTTGCCAATCTGCATATTGTGGAAGTCTTTTTCTGACAGCAAAACTCACTTTCTATCTTCTGAATTGTATTGCAGCATCTTTTCTCCATTTCCATAAATTGGTCTTATTTTAGCGTCTTGCACTTTTTGCTGGTTTTCCGTATCTTTTAGACAGTTTTCTTTATGTTTATTTGGATTTTTAACAGAGAGTATACAAAGATGTAAAGAACAGAAAACACAGCATAACTCAGGACAGATGTATGGAAACATTCTTGAGAACCTTTCACAAACGATGTAGCAAAAACCATAAAGGAGATAGTGTATAGGCATTGCATGACAAATGAGAACATAACTTTTCTATATATTTGTTCCATTCTCAGGACCAAGGAGTGTCTTGGTCCATAAAATTAATTTATGTAAAAATACAAGCAAAAGCAGAAAATTTAGAACAAAACCCAGCAATTTGTGGTTCAGGCAGAAGTGAAGATTGTATTAGGAGTGAGGAGCCCTCAGGGCTGCATCTGACTTGCAGACCCACTGAAACAATACTGGCAGTATCGTGACTGTTCCCAAAGCACCAGTGCTGGGCTGTAGAACTGGACCATAACCACGTCCTTCGTGAAGGAAGGAGCATCTAGAGAGACTGGCACAGCTCTCCAAAGCCTGGCACAATGGCTCATGTTTAAGGGCATATATTGCCGAATGCAATTCCTGGTGCTAAATGAACGGAAGACTGATGCATGGAAAAACTGAACAAAGTAAGGATTTTCTGAGAGGCTTCCATGAAAGAGTGTTTATTATTGCGAAGTCGCAGGTATTTTGTAAATAATAATGACCTTTCTTAGATTTAGACTACAGTGGTTTAGAAACTGAATGGTTTGGCTTAATTTCAACCTAAAAAGAGTCAGAGAACATCATTAGAGATTTTTTCTCCCAGACTTTTCTGGACAGATTCCAGTAACAGTAAGACTGTTCATTGTTGGAGAGACTGGTTATGTTCCTGTTTCCTACAACCTTTGGCAAGTTTAAAATTTAAAAAAAAAAAAGGTAAAATGATCCATAAATGCTTGCAGCTTTTAACAAAGCTGTCATCTTCCACTTCGTAGGAACATGGTAGGCTCTTTTAAAGTACAAGTACTCTCAAATTTTCAGCTGAGCAGTATCTTCAAACTTGTTGCTTGCTTTGCCCAGTAAAACAAGCCTTTCCCAGATCATCTGAAAGGCTGCTCAGTCCTACAGAGTTGTTGTAAAGGATGAGTTCATGGACTATTTATGCAGACCTTGTAACTCTTTTTCCACCTTCTCCTATATCCACCATAGACAGGTAGCACGAGATCTCATGAAAGTGACTGCCATTAAAAACCCACTTTGAAGTGCTAGAATTAGAGGACTTGCCAGTTGTTTTTCTCTCATTATCTTTCTTACCCTTTTTACTTGTGACAGCTTTTCATTAGTCAATGGAAATGTTTCCTAGCAGAGACTCCGTCATTCCGTGTGCTGTGCAGTACCTCAGAGCACAGGCTTCTGATCAGGTGCTGTTACGACAAGCAGCTCATAGCTGAGTGACTTACCCCTTTCTTAATTGGATTTCTATTGCAATAGCAGCATGAATTTTGAGCGAGGAGCGGGCTCCATAGCATATACAGCGAACGCTGCCACTGTGCTTCTCAGTGCTAGCACAGCATCTGTTCCCTTGTGACAGGGACTGCACAGAGTCACTTTACAAGCCTGTTCTCTCGCTGCAACCCTCAAAAGAAAGGAAATGAGGAAATTCACTTTGCAGCAGCCCACACAGCCTGATATAAATATGCTGTGCATCAAAAAATAAGCTTACTCTCTTAAATTCCTATCCCTAGACACCTGTCAACCAAACTGCTTTAATAATTTGTGTTATTCGGTGAGGCCATGTACTGGCTTAGAGTAGGCTTGATAAGAGCCTTATAAAGACAGCTTCCCTGCAAGCAGAATTAATGCTGAGATGTAGAACTGTGGTACTGCAATAATGCAAAGGTAAAGGAAGGTGATTTTACCCCTTAATTCTGCTTGATACTGGGCTTTAAAAAGGGTAGTGATCAGCAACATAGCTTTAATCAATGCAAGAAGACAGGAAGCTTAAGTTTACTCTGATATCAAAGATGAGTCAGTGTGGGAATTAATAGCATGGACTTAGCACAGCTTGAAGTCATGGATTTATCTCTAAACCTTTGCTAAAATGTACGTGCATCTTGTTCTTTTGCTTTAAGGTATTTGGTGTTGTTTAAACACCTAATACCTCAGGCTTGATGTGCACACAGACACACAGGGTGACCAGACTTATCTGCAAATAGGGTATTTTTTCAAATGTATATAGTATTACCAGATAAAATTTTGAAATAGGAGGTACTTAGTAAAGAATGCAATAACTTCAATATGGTTTGTAACTTTTCAGTTTAACATTTTCTGCTTTTAGAAGTTCAACTTTTTTGAATGAGTTCTACAGTACTAATGGATATAAACACACACTGTAAAAATGAGTTACGGTGTTTTTAAAAAACTGTAGTTTATAGACATCCATTTGGTTTGACAATATGTTATATTTTGAATTTGGTATAACCTACGAAGTTCTTTACGTCTTTGTTGCTTTGTATTTTAACACACCTTTGGTATGATTGCAGTATCTTTTTAGCAGCTACTCAGATATTGTATATTGTAGTGTAAGATTTGTCTTCTCTTTCCCACTTCCTTTTGCTTCTGCATTCTTTTCAATGAGGCTCCCAACTGAATATGAGAGGAACGGGAGATTTGAGGGCTCAAGGTGAGGGTAAAATTTTTGTTTAAAATGTTACTTAGGTGAGTTTGAACCTTTCTCCCCTTGATTATGTGGCATAGTGGCTTCAGGCAGCAGCTTTTGTTTTGTGTAAGGCTTTGAAACTAAACAAAGAAGCATTTCTGTCTGCAAACGAGCTATTAAAGCACTGACTGACTTGGTTCCAAACTTTCATCTTTCTTGTTGCCTTTTCCCTTGTGTGGTTTTTTTTGCATTTTAGTTGTTATAATTTGCTGTTGTCCTGTAGATGTGTAGGTAAGTGGTCTCTAGTGAGGCTGCAAACATGTGGATAACCACTGAAGGGTGATAATATATTTCTCATCTCCAAAATCCCAGATAGTTAAACAGTATTTTTCATGGTATACTCTTTTTTTCAAAATCTGCATATCAAAAAATACTGGAAATGATCAGACTTGTGCTGGTTCTGCCAACTTTTCAAGTAGAAAAAGCTTTCAAAAATGAGCATTGAATAAAAATTGGGGTTCCCCCTGCACCCTTATAGCCTTATTAAATTAAAACCTTAAAGTTAAAACAAAGTGCTCTTAATTTACTTGCTGAATTTTATAACATCTGGCAAATCACATAGCTGAATTTGACACCATAATCCTATGACTCTCACAGTTACTGGAAGTCTTTCTAATAGAATGTAAAATGATGAAATAGGTTGTCTTTAAAAGACATATTTAGTTTTGACACTTAGTATCACTTTTTATTTTCATAATTGCCTGATTAAGGGTGGTAGAAGGAAAGCATTGTGTAACCAGAAATTCATTGCCAGCTATTTTAAAGAGCATCTTGACTTAATATTGTAAATTGAACTTTGAAGTTCAACGTGAGAGCTAACCTGCATGGTTTGGGGTCAGTTAGGTTAGGTATTTTCAGAAAATACTTAAGCGTGACAGTCAATATATTTAAGTCTCTTGTCCTGAGGACAAGTAAATTTGAAGAAGCAACTGACAGCATGTAAATATTCATAAAGCAAAACTGTCTTTTTTTTTTTTTTTTTCTTTTACCCTGGAGGTCCAAATGTAGTTCCTTATTCTTTAGCTGCGTGACCACTGATTTCAGCTGAAGTAGAAGAATCATTACGAACTAGAAATTTCTGGAACGCTTCTTTTCTTTGTCCTGTAGTTATCCTTATTTATCCTTGCCAAAGGAAAAGCTTTTTTGGTTAAAAAAAAAAAAAAAGTTGTAGCCTCAATATTTCATGCTTTATCTCTTAAAACTGTGACAGTAACGGTAACTCTTTTATTCACCGTCTCTGCTAACGATGTTGATGAGGTGTCTTATAGACACTGTCAACTCTTTCTTGCATTTCAGCCTCAAAGGCACTTAGTTGTGTAGCTTGTAGCAGTGAAAGATTTCATCTCTTTACCTGCATCAGTCATTGGTATTAAACAAATTCCTGACCAACTTGGAGACGAAGTATTTCCTCCCCGTTAAAGGTCACCCCAGTAGCCTACAAAGTGATGGGTCTCTGGTGATGATCTCAAACACTTAGCAGTGCAGGAAGGCCAGAGCGAAACCACACCAGCCCAGAACAGGCTGGGTAGCACATGTTGGCCCTGGGGCAGTAGGTGGGTGACCCCTAGCAGGGTCCCCCAGCTCCATGTTCCTTCCTCCTGCTTGTATCTACTGGGCATGCGGTGGGCCCTCCTGGTGCTTGGTCTCCAACCTGCTGCACTGGAGGAGGTACAGAGGAACGCCCCAGGATCTTTCTGCACGGGCTCATCCCCGTTGCATATGAGGGGTGCCTCTCATGGTCTGGCAGTCCCACAACCTGGGCTGAGCACCCTTTTGTCACAAGTCACCGCTGTTTGAATGTTCCAGAAACTTCTAGCCCAGAGCTGGTGTTTCAGCTGTCCACGTGGCCTGAGAATAGGGGTTTGAGCAGAACCTGCCTTAAAATCAAGTCATAGGCGACACACATAGTTCTACCTCCACAAGGTCATTTCCCTCATCCTCCTGACTCCAGTGACTTCCAGTTGTGTCACCCGTCGTACCATACCTTCGTTTCAGCCCCAACAGCTAATGCTTTACCTTGACTGTGTGTTTGTACAGCAGCTAGGAAAGCGGGGCATTGCTCTCAGCCGGAGCCTCTAGATGCTGCTCTAATACCGGTAGTGTGTGTTGAGTGTTAGTTTGCTTCACTAACGTGAAACGTGGAGAAGGTAGCTGGCCCTGCTAACTAATAAATTCCTGTCTTTCAGCCGCAATGTAGCTGTGGATCAGAAGGACGAGAACAAGGAAGCCAAGCCTCGGTCGCTGCGTTTTACCTGGAGCATGAAAACCACCAGCTCCATGGATCCCAATGACATGATGAGAGAAATACGAAAGGTCCTGGATGCCAATAATTGTGACTATGAACAAAGAGAGCGTTTCTTGCTTTTCTGTGTCCATGGAGATGGGCATGCGGAAAACCTTGTACAGTGGGAGATGGAGGTGTGTAAACTGCCAAGACTGTCCCTGAATGGAGTTCGCTTTAAGCGGATATCGGGAACATCCATAGCTTTTAAAAACATTGCTTCCAAAATTGCCAATGAGTTAAAGCTGTAACAAGAAAAATAGTTAAGTTGTAAATTAGTTAGCAATTTCAAGTGTTTTTGAGAATTCCAATGGAAATGTATAGAATAACATTTAGGCAATAACTTCTGCATCCTTCTGAATAGTGATATTAAAAAAAAAAAAAAAAAGCTGCTGAGCTGGGAGGGAGAGTTGGACTTTTTTATAAGTGCACTACAGCATTAAAGTTGCCTACTATGTAAAATATTACCCCTTCTGCTTTATTTCCATTGCTCCTAAGTCTTTGACAACAAATTGAAACACAGAATATATTCATTTAAATATGCCTCCTGTTTGTGTGGACGTGTGAATGTACAGTATGTGTGTATAATATATAAAGTATTATATGTAAACAATTAATTTACAACATCAAGCTGTACCAGTACCTCTTTTTGGGCTAATTTTGGTGCTAAAAATTGAAATGGCCAAGGAGGAAACACTTGAGTTAATATTTAAAATAACTGAGGCGATAACCAGTAAATGCAGGTTTACAGTTCACTGCTGTGTTAAGAAAAAAAAAGTGTGTGAAGGGTTTGGATTTACGGTTGTGAACATTATTAGTCCTGTTTTCTAAGTAGATCTCATGAGATTATTAAAAATTCACTTTTACTGAGTAAGTCTTGCATTATATTTTGCCCACCTATTTATTATTTAAGTCTGAATCAAATTTTTAAAATGTAGTTGATTTGTGCATTAAAATTTGGGTAAACGCTTCCATTCTTCTGCTTCTGCTAAACTACTAAAATTGTATCTTTGTCCTTTTGGCTTATGAGTGTTGATTGCAGCTAAGAACACTTTTCTGTTGTTCCACTGTTCCTCTACAGAATGAGGCAGTCTAAAAGGATGTACTGAATGCTTACTAGTGACTTTTTCCTTTCAGACCAAGTTCTCCACGTTAGACTAGGTCAGACTGATACGAAGCACAAAAGGACTCTCAAATAACCACCGTATTTTGATTCAAGTCACTGCGTCCGAGTCGGTGCCGTTCTGAGGTATTGCTGCATGTGTGGCAGTACTGCCCTTTGCGTTCTGGGCATGCACGGTGTTGAAACCCAAAAGTGGGAATCAAATTGGCTACTGATCTCCTCTGTTCTAATGCCCAACTTTGTAAACTACAGCCATAGGCAGTAGCAGTTAAAACTTTTCCTTACAGCTCTCTTCCAGAGTGCTTCCACTTGGCTCTGGCTGTATTGCTTTGATGGCTTTGTGCCAGTTGTGTCTCTGGCTTCTGCTGCGGAGGGAGTCCACTGTTGCTCTTTTAACGTGCAGTGTGGAAACCTGCCCTTGATGAACTCCGATGGCCAACTAGCTTTCTGTAGGACACAAAGCTACTCTGGGATGGTCCCCACTTTTTAACCATCACTGTGGTGAGCCGGATTTGATTTTGCAAACTAGAATGAAGAGATTTCTTCATGCGTTGTTTCCTACTGATAGTTTATTTCATCGAGGACTTCTGTAGATAATACCCTGCATTATCTACTTGACTTTTTGTATTAATGTTTTATGGTTATATTTCAGTGAAGCACTTAAGCATGTACTTAACATGTGCTTTAAACTGGAGTCTAAATTTGCATTTTCAATTTGCAGTGAGTTAATAGCTATTCATAGTACACAGTTCAGATTTGACCCAAGGTGAAAATGCAAAATCCTTAATATTTTGCAAGTTAGTTCTTGTGATCTGTAGTCTGTCAAGGCAGCAGACATCCCCTCTACTGAGCATTGATATTGATTATGCTAGTTTAAAGGGTAATCATAGCTGTTAAATGTAGTAAATATTCCTGAATTTGCATTTTATTCTCTGTATATTCTGTATCACGCCATGGCTTGAGAACTCCAGGTGCTACCAGATTTCAGTTGGCTTTCAGTGCTCTGCCCATGCCTGTGCTGCTCAGTATGGTTTTTTCCATGAAAACTCCATTTTGTAATAGCAATAAGACAGGGCAGTCATTGTACTCTCTCAGGTGAGTGGTCACCTCTCCTTTCAGTTCCTACATTTTAAGCACTCCTCCAAATGTCTTTTTTTTTTTTTTTTTTCACCTGGCAGTGCACTTTGTTGTCTGAACTGAAAAAGTGTTGATAAATGATGTAAATCTGTACTCAGTGGAAGTTCCAAAAGGTTTCATATTAAATGTTTTCTTGAAATACTCTCTTCCTACTTCACCTGTTAAGTATGTAATTGTTTCTAGAAAGTGCACTAGTATCATTCTTTGGATATTTAAAGTTTGTACTTAAATATTTTTCTTAAGTGTTCTCAAAAGGTTCTTTCAGAGTAAATCTGTATTTGAAGTATTAAAAAAAAAAAAGAATTATTATAATTGGAAACAGATTTTTAACGGCTTCCTTCCCAAATTCCTTGTAAAATTACCAAGTTGCAAGAATATACCCTTGTTTCTTTAGCATAATACATGCTTACGGTTCGAGCCTGTAGGAGTTGCCTGGAAAGGAAAACTGCTTCCTTCAGATCTCCAAACCAATGACGAACTTCTTCCCAAACACAGGCCTTCTACTTGTTCGTATTCCTTGGAGATCTGTGTAGGTTTATCAGCACTGCTGGCGATAACGACTCTGTGGAACTCCAGCTGTTTTTTCTGTCCTTGAGACAAGTTTTTAAAATAATTGGAGGTCAGTGTGTAGTGAGGAGGTAGCAGCAGGCCTCCTCAGTGTGTTGAGATGCGTGCCTAGAAACCGAGCAGTGGTTTTACGTGGTGGCATGATTGGTGTCCTGGAATGTGTGGTCCAAGGGCGTCTTGGGGTGTGTTTGTAATGGGCTTGTGACTAAAGGTTTGCGTCACTAAACCCCATGTCGTCCAGTTCTGAAGGTGTCTCTTGGTTGCTGGATCTGGCAGAGAAAAATGGCGTTAGAGTTTGGGTTTGGGGAGGGGTTGACTGCTTTAAATGAAAGTTTTTGAGATACGTACACTGGAAGAAAAACCAAAATCTGAACACTGAAAAAGAACAAACAAGTTCAGATAAACTTTTTAACTTTTTCTCATGCAAACCTTTCATGCACTTAGGCTTTTGAAAATACTTCAGTCTATTTTACCTTCTTGGAAGATCTAAGGTCCTCAGCCATGTTGAGAAGAAGTAGGGA